TGTGTGTGTGTGTGTGTGTGTGTGTGTGTGTGTGTGTGTGTGTGTGTGTGTGTGTGTGTGTGTGTGTGTGTGTGTGTGTGTGTGTGTGTGTGTGTGTGTGTGTGTGTGTGTGTGTGTGTGTGTGTGTGTGTGTGTGTGTGTGGTGTGTGTGTGTGTGTGTGTGTGTGTGTGTGTGTGTGTGTGTGTGTGTGTGTGTGTGTGTGTGTGTGTGTGTGTGTGTGTGTGTGTGTGTGTGTGTGTGTGTATGTGCAGAAATGTCGAACCCAACTGATCTTCGTGTCCCATTGGTAATCCAAATGGAATCCCAGATCTTTCACACTAATGCATTTTCCGAAGCAATGACTGCCGCCATGTCATCATATTACTGTAGGCCATTCAGCTCGGACCAGCAAAAACGTCACGAGTAATGCCTTACCAAGTTAAGGCGTGAACTTAGCTTCTGACCTTTGGTAACATGATATTTTCCTGTCACGGAGCCATGCTCTCTTTTTCGTGAGGTGTCGGTTGCAAGATGCTACGACTATTGCTCCAGGATGTACCACTCCGGTTTGCATTATTCCGCATTGCCGTAGCATGCATAGCTCTTGGGATAATGTCAGTGGTCTATGACGTGCCAGTTGGACCGCTTTGACCTGAGTTGACTTGTCAAAGGCAGCATTCATCATTGCTTCAAACTGCATTATATCTAATACAGTTTGACAAGAGCCATCAAGTGCGTTTTCTCCGTGTCTCTAGCTTACTCAGTTTTTACGATCTTGGGCGGGGCTGGGGGCTCTGAAACTCTACCCGCTCATGGGTGAAGGCGAAAAAGACACCGTAGGGTGAGAATTAGGCTGCCAGGTTCCGCTCGCTGATGTTCCTGGTGAATCTTATCTACTCAATCTAGTTCGTGAAATGTTGAAAGTGAGGAAAATAGACCTCTTTGGCTGCCAGTATCCTCGTTAGTTGCCGATCTTCAGTTCTTTCATTTCTTCATTCCCATCATTTCTTCAAATGCCGATCGTCCTTCATTCGCAACTATGTTATAGCCGAGAAAGACTTGTGTCTGCATGTGTCTGATCCTGTTTATGTCTGCGTCCACTCATGTTTCCGTGAAAGGATTTCCGGTGTTAGGTTTCGGTGTTCATAGAACAGTAACAAGACTTACAGAAACATTATTAGCTGGGGATTCCTATGCCGACAATTATCGACCTTCAGCATACCAAGGCATACCGGTCAACAATATTATCAAGCAAACATCGCCTGCATTGTCACAACTCGACATTTCAAGGTCTTCTCCTCGTCACGAACAATCGTCAGCTTGGAATAACAGTTTAGAACGTTGACGTTTGTCAATATTGCTAAAGCGTGCGTGATGACGTCGTTAAGCCCGTATTTCCTGGTATAGAGAATATCGATTATGTCATATGAGCGGCTAACGCGCAATGCCGATTCACAGCTTCTGCACAAGACACAAAGTCCATGGATAGATCATATTATAAGATTGTCTTTCGCTATGCTTTCAACATTGCAGGCTTTCCAGGTCACTGGCAAGCCATTTGGCCTGGTAACACCAGTCTGCGATGAAGAGACCTGGGAAGCACTCTTCTTTATTTCTTCGGATAGTCGACCAGATTCTGAGGCCTTGGTAGGGGCTACTTTTGACCTCAGTCGGTCACGCCCGGCAAAACACCCGAAGCGGTGCCAGCTCAAAGCGGTGCCAATGCTTCAGTGCGGCGCACGTCCGCGATCAGCCGACTCGGCAACGTGGGTACGAAAAGCCTGCGGGAGGTCCATTCGGTTCAGCCGCCGTCACCAGGGGTCAGGTCGGCTGATTCGAGCCAGCTGCGATCAGAACTGACGACGGAAAAAATATGAAGCACGGGAAATCCTCAAGCTCGAATCTTTTATGGGTACTTCATGTTCTAAAATGTGTTTGTAACAGTCAGCAGTTGAGCGGAGTCCTCAACATATTTTCACGTCATTAACAGTTTATTTTGAACCGTCAGTTTCCGCCGCACTGACAACAAGTTAGGATCTAAGTCACAGGTTGCATCGTCTGACAGCAGATGCTTGCGAGCTGGGCAGAGAAGTCGGCCGCCGGTCCACGCACTGCGCCGTGGTGACCACAGGCACCAATCACGCCCGTCAAACGAGTGCGGTGTCCGGTCCGGTGGAGCGCGCCCGGCGCTCAGCGGTCACCCGGGCACGTGTGGGCCGGAGCTGACGCAACCTTATCGGTCACACCTCATCTGCATCGGAGCGTGAGGCGGGCGCAGCCTGGCACACGTGCACGGCGGGTTCACGGCGGCGGGCGTCCAGCCGCGCCGAGACACGGTGCGCGCGGAAGGGCGGCCATCAATGTCGGGTCCGATCCGGCACCGGCGTTTGCCACCAGCTGCGGCCCGCTGGCCAACAGAGAAGTGACGTGCCTTCTAAGCAGAGATGAGCTATAAAAGAGTAACAACGAGGGTCATGGAGCAGATGATTAGAAGCGACGAGAGCCAATCAAATCTCAGCTGGAGAGGCAGCCGGCAGCCGCTGGCCGGTTGGGTGCTGTGAAGAAACGTGGTGCCACCAATAGTTGCATCGTGGCGTAGAAAATTATCAGCGATAATTCTCTAAGCGCTCCTCACACAAAGCGTGCACTTTTTGCACTTTGCAGATGGCAATAACGATCGACAAGTACTGACATCACAAGGCGCCATTTTTACGTGGACATTTGTGAGTCACCCACTGTGATCACAGGGTCAGAGATAGACATAAAGCGCAAACACGAAAATACTGAAATATGGGCTAATGGCAGACAAAATTCGAGTCACTGCTTGTACATTATAATTGTCAAGGAGCATTTGCTCATCAGCTGCGGATGCCAATCATTAATCGCCTATCAAAGTTGACAGAAATCACGCTTTCTCGACGGTGAACGCAAGCTCCTCGAGGACATGTCAAGCGGTACTATTTCCGATAGCCGAGTTCACAGTCAATGACAGCGGATTCGAGGCCTGAAAGGTGTTCTTTGCACCTTTGTGTCGCTTACGACTGCGTGCACGTCTCCAGCCATCAGTTGTGAGCCCCAAAACTTATGACGGGCTAGGTGTCTCGAACAAAAAGGCATCTACCACGTTCACGTGTGATGTTATGTTACAATGGCTAGTTACAATGGCTGCCATCCCCCTACCGTCCATACCGTCCAAGAGCTCTTTTGGCCGCTTGTCGGGCTCCTGACCGCTCAGGTGCTATTTGGACGCTCAGATGTTGCAGTAGACACCCGAGGATCCGTGTCTGCTCTGTTCCATCATGTGCCAGGCAGGGCCCCCAGTACCGAACTGGGCCCTTCGCCCATTTGAGTCCAGTGGCTTAGAGGCCGAAATGGAGCCTCTGTGCTTATTATTGGGCCCGTGCGGCGGTACGGGATATTTCTACGTCAATAAGGAACCCCTGCATCGATCTGGGACCAGCTGCCTGGGTCAAAGGGCCTCCCGCGTCTAGGAGGGCATCAATGTATGATGTAGGCCTAAAAGGGCCTCTGTAGCGCTCAAGGGACCCAGCCCCCGTGTCGCCAGAATGGCAGCCGGTAGGCACCCCTCGCTGGGTCGGAATGACCCTTCATCCCCTGGCCGGGAACGATAATATACCCCCTAGGGTTCTGCGCACGAAGCCCGTTGCCCGGTAAAGTAAGGGAGCTCATTAATTCTAAATAAAGGGGATCGAAATGAGGTGAAAAGTAAGAAAAAAACGCCAAACCAACAACAGCTTGAGAACGTCTGTCCTTTTACACAATCGAATAGTACAACAAATCACAGAAACATTTTGAGCCTGCGCCCTCGTAATCTTAGGAGAAAGAGCACCAGTAGCTAGGGTTGCAGCTTCCGTAAAGCCGAACGGCCCTGGTAGCTGCACATAGCTCAGGCGGCGTGCTCCGCGCGCGCGAAAACGACCGTCTTGAAATTATGCTTTCGAAAGTCTTTCAAGTCGATGCGTGCCTTTCAAAGATAATATTCGGCATGCTCTCATATTTGTACTTATACACTGCCTTTTGAACATGTTAACAGTTACAGCAACACGTGAAATAGGGATCCTGCATTTACTCTTCCAGTCCCATCACCACCAAGCTCCAGCACCAGTTTGCGGTGCTGTAAGTGTTAACCCGCTGCTATCTTCAGTCTAAAAATGGTACAGGTTAGCTTAATCTGGGAATTTATTTGTCTTAAATTGTTCACAGATGCTTTTTTTAGACACGTCATCAGTTTCGTCCGCCCGTTGGCAACCACCTAGTGTTGAATGCAGAGTGTACGCCGCGCGACCTACGGAGACTGCAACGCGAGGCGTGGGACTTTTTGTTACTTAAAATTTCGATCGCCGTCTCTAGATCTCTTAGTTGTTATGTATTGGGGGGGGGGGGGGAAATCAACCCCCAACTAAGCGGAGGGTATTCAACCGGCCACTTGGGCACATGCCGAGTTAATCAAATAGGAGTGGCGCTACTTAATAAAGTTATCAGGCCTAGGGGGGGGGGGGGGACAGGCCCCTTGCTTGGCTACGCTTATGGCAGGACTGGATGCGTCCTGAAGTTTGCCACGGGTCGGTCGAAATTTTGCACCCAAAACATCTGATAACGGTACATTTTAGCTTGAAGGAAGGCCTTCTATTGCAGCTTGGGACTCGTGGCATTTTGGAGCTCGCCTACCGCCCAACTTGAACATAATTTCCGCGCTCCCGCAGGGCAGGACCCCATGCTAATTTCCATTGATTTATGCATTTCGTAGGCGAATGTAGTGATGCCAATTGAAATAAATTCGAATATGCTTAGAAGAAATTTAATACACACGTAATAAATGGTCGAAAAATAGAATATCGATAGCAAAATAATGAGCGGGTGTCATGTATAATGCCACTAGCGACCCTGGCGGTAAACATTGTGCACAGCTCATTTGAACCTTACCAAGCAGGCGAACGCCGCAAAGCATGTGGGGCTGGCGTTGCCCCACGTTTGTGAGTTTTGTGGGGGCCGGCTCGTGCCTTGCGTTGCCGTACTGCCGCGTAGGGCCGTATGTGCTATGTGATGCGGCCACGGCGACTGCCTTCACATGATGTCGAAAGACCATGGCTGTGAGATGTCACAGGTGCGACCGTATTAGTACAGACAGAACGGAAAAGGCTTTGGAATGCAGGTGGGGCAGGCTCGTGCAAGGCTGTAGGCGTAATGAGGGATGCGGTCGCGGACCAGTCTGTCGATTGGTACCAGACAATGCTACACATGCGTTGCAGGCTTTGGGTGTGCAATTTGTTTTGCCTCAAGATGAATGCTGTATGTGCTTTCACTTATTTGGCTCTTTCCTAAAATACAGTTTGTGCTGTTTAGATGACAGGTGACAGCTCCCAGGCTCCCAGCAGATAAAACTCAGTTACCACCTACCATGTGTTTAGGACAAGCCTTGTGATCAATGCAAACCCATTTATGCATGCTATGTACAAGTTCTTCAGGAAATACCTTCATCAAGCTTAGTTTTGTTCTCTTTCAGCATGTGGGTTGCATGTGATTTTGCTGGATTATTTTGTTAAAAGCTGGTGTCTGATATATAGTCCTGTATTCTCAGGGTCCATCAGCAGTGCAGCCCGACCACTTCTATGACAATGACAAGAAGGTGACAGAGCAAATGAACTGTTCAGTGATATGGTAAGTTCCATGCAAATCCATTGAAGTGTTTTGCTATATCTTTCAGGTATGTTTGCCTAATCAATATATTTAAGCATATTATTGGCAACCTGAATGGAGTAATTTGTAGGAAATCAGCAAGGTTAGATCAAATATGAACCAAAATCTTGAGTACCAGGGTATTCCAAGTCTCAAGTAATATCAGGGGCATTAGTTCATGTAGCTAAGTAGTTTGCACTTTGTCAGGCCTGCTGTGAATGAACTATCAGAAGAAAAATGGCATGGTTTTTGTCAAGTTATTAATAAAACAGATATAATTAAGAATATGTTCAAAGAGGGCATAGTTCTACATGGATACCATGGGCCTGTGCACCTCAGATGTAGGAAATAGGTAGTGAAATATGCTGTGTCTCTATATCTTTGCCTGTTAAGTCATGGATAATAAATGAGGGAAGGCAGTAGAAGCAATAGCACACTGTTTGTACATGTTTTTGCTATTTTTCTGTGAACTAGCACATGGTTTGCTCCCATATTGTTGCAGTGTTGTCTCTTCCAGCTTCAGTTGTTGCCCACAATCATAATACCAGACTTTTCATTGTGAGAATTGTAGCAGGGCCTGCCTGTTCAGCACTCAGGTGCTTCACAAATGACATGCCTGTATTTCAGTGTGTATTACTTGATTCATTGATCCCATTCTCCAGACTGTCAACACTCATGGAACATACTGTCGCGGGCCGTCGCGCAAGTCCCACAAGCCGCAATGTTTGCACCCCACCTTTTCTGCGCTGCAATGTTTGTAGCAGTACCTTCCACTCTTATTCGGTATAACGCAAAACACGGCCTAAGACCGCGTCCCCCTTACTTCCTTTAGCTGTTTAAGTCTGCATGTGCCGGTGGTCTAAAGGGCAGACTCTCTGGAACAAACTCCATTAACGCGTTTCTGGTCTACGGCCGCGCAGCGTTATGGTTTTATCGCACTGTCCGCGGTGAGCGAGTAACATGAATGAATGCAAACAGTTTCTGTGCTCGTATGCTTCAATTCATCTCTCTAGGAACACGGCGCGTACCTCAGCGCCTCAACCTCAACAGCCCAACCACTTACACGCCAGTGCGCGCGCGGCTGTGCCTGACCGCGCCACCGGTTGCTGTTGCCACTTGGCCGGCCAGTCGTCGCAATCACTAGTTAGGTCATCACCCACGAGATGTCGTCAGATGCACAAGCCGCGCCAAGCGCATACGGCACATCTCATCACAGCTAACGAAAAGATGAAACTACTGATAACTACGGATAACAGGCCACCGATTACCAAAAACTACCTATGACGGCCAATAAGTACCGACAAGAGTCCACGAATAGCTATCCGCGACATACGCGACATCTTCGCAGCATCTAAATGCTGACAATTAGGACATTGACTAGAGTACAGACCAACGCTGTCGCGCCCAAGTATCGAAAAAAGAACAACCGACATAGGTCCTGGAATACACAATGTGTAACCTGCGGCATGCGGCACATCCCCATGTACATCCTCACATCTCGGTCTTGGAGAGTTTTACACACAGTTAAAACATTTGACTTCTAACTAATGAAACAAGCTTTTGACATTTAGAACATTGACTACTTCACCGTCCCTTCCATCTAGATAAGGAAACATCTATCGGGGCACGTAATCGGTCAGGTATGCTGGGGGCCGAAAAGTCGGCTCTGGTCTGCGAAAGGGCCGGAAGAACCGCCAGGGGCTGGCTCAGAGACACCATGCTCAGGCACCGAAGGTGCCTTCGGACCTGGGCTTTGAGCCGGCATCGGATTATCAGACGTGGTCCCCGGAGCACCGTGTGGTGACCGTGGTGCTGTCGCCGGCAGACTCCCGCCACGTCGTGCTGGAGAGGCCTGCTCGGACATCGGCCGAACAGGCGGATCGAGTCGGTCCACGCTCAGTGGCGGCGGAGGCGGGCCACTGGCGCTCAGCAGGTGCCGGCGGTTACGTCAGTACAACACGCCGTCGACTCGGACCCGGTACGGGCGCGGCCCCGCCACCGGCACGCACGTTTCAGGTGACCACGCCCCCTGCCCGGGCAGGCGCACCCTAACAGACTGGCCTGGGACCAGGGGCGGCAGCGGGCTGGCCTTTCGTGGGCGCCATATGACCAATGTAGTCGGTGCGCCCCAAAGCCCAAATCACCACCACGGTCTGGCCTTTCGATCATAGTAGGAAGCCTGACAGGGCTTTTCGGCACGTGAGTATCTCGGGAACTGCAAAGGGGTAGCGCGGAAGGAGGGTGCATTAGATCGGAGTGCCGGTAAGAACGTGCGACAGGCACGGCAGAACGGTTTTTGTGCCGGAGAAAGTCATCTCTTTACTCGGAGTATTCCGCCGCGTCATTAATGCCCAGAGCGAGGTTTTACCATCTTCCATAGCTGTGCGCATGCCATTTTTCAGTTTTGACCGAATTTTCGGCTTTACCGTTTGACGGGGGTATCGCGGCATGCCGGTCACGTGGCGAGTGCCCAGGCCTTTGGTGAATACGAGGGAGTTGTCCCTGCTATACGGGGCCCAGTGTCGCTGCCCAGCGTCTCTGGCAGGCCATAAAGAGCGAACTGGGAGGCTAAGGTAGCTATGACGTGAGACACCGTGAAGCGAGTAAGCGGTTCAACCGCCACACAATTTGCGTAATAGTCCACGAGCAGTAGGTGAGCAGAGCCACGCAGTACCAACAGATTCACCGCTTCTTTCTCTTAGGGCCTACTCGGAACTTTTTGTGGGAGCGGCAATTGAGGCGCCTGCGCGGGCCGATGTGCCAAACAAACCAGACACTTTGAGGATGGCCTCGCTGGTCATGCCGGACATTCCAATCCAGAACGCATTTTGCTACGCCAGTCGGAGGATTGGCGCCTCGCCGATGAGAATGCTGTGGAGTCTAGTGATGATGTCTCACTGGTGGGACGACGGAAGGATCAGAACCATCCTTTGTATGACAAACCGTCTTGTGTTGCCAGCTCCTCACAAAAGGGGTGGCATACCCTCAGAATGACCGACAGATGGCGCCTGTGGTCCGACCATCCCCACCGCAGCTGTCCGATGAACTCTGTCAGCATCGGACCGGCTTTAGCAGCTGCTCGCATTGCCTCCAGCCGTGATCCAAGCGTGTAATCGCAGAGCTGATAGCCAGGAGCTCCTTTTCCAGTTGTGAGTGCACGATTTCATATGACTTGGGTGAGCGGGAACAATATGTGACGGGCCGCCCTCTATTCCCAAGAATCCCTTTAGACCAGGCACGTCGGTGGGGACCGAATATTCGTGAACAGCTGCTGCTTTTGCCGGATCTGGCTGCACACCGCTCTCCGGTGTCAGGATACGACCCATCCACTTAATCTCCGGCACCTCGTACCGGAACGTGCTTGGAAAGCGATCATCGGCGGCCGACGGAATGCCGTGCAGTATCGCCCCACCGTCGTCTGCAGTGTCGGGCTGGGTCTACTTTGCGACCGTCTAGCGCCGGCCGAACCCGCCACTGCGGCCGGGCGCTGGCTCCTGCGGCTGCTTCCGGCCAGGCGAGCCGGCCACAACCGTCTGCTCATGACGTGGCATGTCCCACAAACCTTGCACAGGCGAGAGGGGCCTGTTAGCATAGCACGGCTCTCCTCGACTGCGGCGATGGGGCTGCTATTCTCCGCCCATCACCTTAGCGCCGTGGCTCGCCGCATCTTCGGTGAGGGCAGTGTCCATTGCAAGGGCGAGCTTGAGTTCAGACATTTTTGGGAACGCTTGTTGCACCCAACGTTTTCGCACCCCATGGCGAGTCGATCCCTGATCATACTGTTTCCGTCGGGAAGCCACAGGTAACAGCAGCCTGTGAGGGGAAGGAATGCCCGCCAATTCTGATTGGCAGCGACTCGAGTGGAATTTATGACATGAAAGGTTCTATTGAAGATGTGGGCCATTACCATCTCCTTTTCATGGGTAAGTTGCTTATTTTCAGCCAAATGCTTAATTTCTTTTTCTGTTGCGATTCCAAATAGACGTCACTTTACGCTGTCGACGCCGTTGATCAACCCGCGTTGCGGCCGGGTGATAGAGCGTGACGTGGATGTGGTGCGTCCCCACGCTCCGCAGGTAGGCTTCGAACCCTTTTGAGCTGAAATGGCTCCCGTTGTCCCATCCTCGTCGCCAAATGTAGTATCGTCCACTCTCACAGCCCGACCAAACACTAAGTCAGGTGTTACCGTGAGTATTTTCCCAATACCTCGGTAATAATAAAGTAATAATATAACGTCCGAGGTGTCCGAACACGTCGCACCCCCGCCACGCACCACCATGTCAAGGCCAACTCTCTCGCGCAACTGCTACTTGCCTGGCGCGTGGGCTCCCTAAATAACTGCCATACTCCACAACAGTGCGGGACACCAATTAGGCCCTTCGTCGCCCGTGAAGTTGCTGGGGGGGGGGGGGGGGGGGTCCTATTGCAGGTACCTTTTCTTGAGAGATGCTCATATCCTATGTTAAATGCGCAGCCCCATCCTTTTCCGCTTGCATAAAATCCGCTACAACCAACAATATTGGCTGTTTGTGACGGATCACGGTGAACAAATTCCACCACAATCAAACCACAGTCAACAACTTCGTCGCCCGAAGTTCGTAAATCTATCATCCAGTCCCCTGCTGTCATCTCCTGTATTGCCTCTCGGTCTGGGGTGTGGCTGCAGTGCGTCACCTAAATAGAGTGTAAGGGGTGATTAACCGTGGGGCCAGGGTCGTCACCGAGGCTCTTCAGCAAGATCCAGTGGCGGCGAATGTTCAAGCGCTGGGCTGGCGCGATGACCTAGTCATCCCCCGTGGTGGCCTCGCTGTGTTCAGGGCCCTTAATGACTCGTGGGTTCCTTTGGAGATTCGGTCCCTGTTCACCACACGTACAGCTTTACGCCAGCGTGTCACCCGCGCGGCAGCGATGGGCGCCCTGGGTCTGCCAGCACTCACCTATCGACAACACGCAGGTCTTCTCGTATTTACGCGGCCTCATCCCGTTACCGCCGACCACCACAACCTCTTACACTTACAATGTGCTTTGCACCAGTCTGGGCGATATAGACTGTCCTGTTGTGTAATCATTGCTTGTTTGCCGCTTCGTAACATATTCTGACGGCTTAAATTTTTGTACATAATTTATTGTTTGCCAAGTTGTGAGAACGAAGGGACGATTGATAACGTGCGAATCTTGTCGCGCCGTTGCTTTAATATTGCGCCCATGCTACTGTTGTAATTGTACCGAGTCAAACAACCCAGCTGTCGGAATAATTTGTGATTAAAATTAGCGTGAACATGACCCAGCCACGCATTCGCAATGAAAGGCGTCATTGGAGCTGCCAGTGGTTTTACGCATACCGATGAAACTCAAGACATTTGTTGGGCTTCATCAGACGTATTTGTGGATATGTGGGAGTTTCATAACGCACAATAGTCACTTCAGCAGAGGTGGTCAGCTTTAAATATATTTAAGTATTGAGGTCAATGACCTCTCCGGGATAACCACAGCTTTGGAAGGTACACGACATGCAGTTCTGGGCAGGCAGCCGGACGAGGTTACCACAGTTGCACGCCATGAGAAGTAGCAACCATGTCACAATAGCGCGGGTCTTTTACCGCATTGGAGCGGCCAGATATGCCTCGCTATGTCAGGAAGGCTTTCTCACATGCCAATAAATCCCGTACACTAGCAAAGACACACCCTGATTGCTGAGATGCATGGAAATATACCACGAGGCACAATCATCAACATTCTTCTTGACTAGATTCAAGGCGTGCGAGCAAAACCAGTGTCAACAAACATTATCAATAGTAACCATGGCTGACAAGTGTTGAACGCACTAAGCGATTATATAACAGTGGCACGACATATTGAATAAGAAGTGAAAGCAATGCTCTCAAGTTAGTATTTTTAAAAGCACATGCGCCTTAGGGGTCACTGGTTAAACCAACACAAAACAAAATTGTACATATATTTTTATGCGTCTTCTTCGCATGGGGCAAATATATAATTACCCAGTCAGTTCTCGCAGATGTAGAACTGTCAACTATGAATGCATCAAAGACATTTGACGGGGCTACTTAGTTCACTTCAGCTTCTTAGTTCAGGTACACGACAGATCTAAGCTCGCTCAACGTTCTTCTCAACTAGTGAGGAGATACTGCAAGCACATCCAGAGACGCAACAGGTTGGACGTAAGCAACCATTGCTTGGTGAGCGGTGCTATTTTACGACGCTTATCCAGTTTGGAACCAATCAACACAGTTAGTCGGAAACGCTTTCAGTCTTTCAGAGTCTCTGGGTGGGCTTGCAATACTCATATATGTACATGAAGGTGTGTCTTGGCAAACTAGCTATTCACGTCATGACATGCAAAGAATATAGATATCGAGCATGTTCTCTACAATGGAACAAGCCTAAGAGCTCTACAGGCACCCGGGAAAAGTCAAGGCATTTCCGATGAGCGAAGTTATGTCCGATTCATGGAACGCCGTGATCACGCGGTGCATGAGGATGACGGGGTTAAAGCCGAGTACGTGGATGGTGTAATCCAGCGCTTCCACCATCCACCACTGCTGTTCAGTACTCTGAAGGAAAAAGAACAACCTAATAAAAACAGACATCAAGACATGGTACGAAGTGGGCAGAAATACTATGAACTAGTTTTACGTCGTCCCATGTGTTATTGATCGATAAACGTTGGTCATGACCGGAAACGCACCGCATATGAGCCAGACATATTTGCCGACTCGCTACTGATCGAGATGTGGTTTTACTAACAATTGTCAACTGAACACGAAATGGTCACATTTATTATTCAAACTCTTAATTGAATACAAACATGGTTTCTTGACTACGCAAAGAAGAAAGTTTCTATGAGCTGTCACCACCGAAGGAAAGGCGGGAAAAGTTACTCGGTGATGTCCTCCGTCATAATCAACTGCAGGATATCCTGTT